GGGAGGGGCCCGAAAAATGCCCCCACCCTATTTCAAAAAATTCACACACACAATGTGTTGAGAGACCTGAAGTGTCAACAAGGCAGAGTGGGCGTGGAGACAGCAAGCTAATGGTAGGCCGTTACACGGGACCCATGAGAACTCTAGGACCTGGCAGCAGCATGCAGAGGCGGTATCTAGGGGCCCCATGCAGATTAGAGGCCTGGCAGCAGCTATGGGAGGCCCGCATACTCTGCCAGACTACCACTATGTCAACAAAACTTCACAACACACCGAAGCAGTGTGAGGAGACCTGAAGTGGGCACATGGCAGCAGACTGTGGCGAATGGAGACAGCAGCAATGAGGAGGCACGTTACAAGGGACCCAAATGAGAGATCTGGACCTGGCGAGCAGCGTATGAGGGAGGCCATGGTTTATCAGCCAGCACCCTGATGGGCCCATGGCAGATTAGTGAGGGACCCTGGCAGCCAGCTATAGGGCGAATGCGACAGACGTAATGGGAGGACCTGCCCAGCAACCCTATGTCAGAAAAAATTCAACCACACCAGCATGCACGTGTGTCGAGGACGACCTGAAAGTAGGCCATATGGCAGAGTGTGGCGATCCAGACAGGGGGGGGGGGGGGGGGGGGGGGGGGGGGGGGGGGGGGGGGGGGTCTATGTCAACAAAGCAGCAACCAGCATGTGTTAGGACCTAACGAGGGACATGGCAGAGTGTGGCGATGGAGACAGGGACAGCCATGCGGAGGCCGTACAGGGACCCATGAGAGCTCTGACCTGGCAGCAGCATGATGAGGCGGTATATATAGGGGCCATGGCAGATTAGGGGCCTGGCAGCAGCTATGGGAGGCCCGTAATCTGCCAGCACCCTAATGTCAAAAAATTCCAACACACCAGCATGTGTGAGGAGATCCTGAAAGTGGCACATGGCAGATAGTGTGGCGATGGATGACAGCATCAATGGGAGGCCGTACAGGGACCCATGAGAGACTCTGGACTTGGCAGCAGACATGAGGATGCGGCGGTATATAGGGGCCCATTGGCAGATTACGGGGGCCCTAGGCAGCAGCTCATAGGGAGGCCCGTAATCTGCCAGCACCCTATTCAAAAAAATTCTAACTACACACAGCAGTCAGTGTGAGGAGACCTGAAAGTGGCACATGGCAGAGTGTGGCGATGGAGAACAAGCAGCAATGGGAGGCCGTAACAGGGACCCATGAGAGAGAACTCTGGACCTGGCAGCAGCATGAGGAGGCGGTATATAGGGGGCCCATGGCAGATTAGGGGCCTGGCAGCAGCTATAGGAGGCCCGTAATCTGCCAGCACCCTATGTCAAAAAATTCAACACACACCAGCAGTGTGTGAGGAGACCTGAAAGTGGCACATGGCAGAGTGTGGCGATGGAGACAGCAGCAATGGGAGGCCGTACAGGGACCCATGAGAGACTCTGGACCTGGCAGCAGCATGAGGAGGCGGTATATATAGGGGCCCATGGCAGATTAGGGGCCTGGCAGCAGCTATGGGAGGCCCGTAATCTGCCAGCACCCTATGTCAAAAAATTCAACACACCAGCAGTGTGTGAGGAGACCTGAAAGTGGCACATGGCAGAGTGTGGCGATGGAGACAGCAGCAATGGGAGGGCCGTACAGGGACCCATGAGAGACTCTGGACCTGGCAGCAGCATGAGGAGGGCGGTATATAGGGGCCCATGGCAGATTAGGGGCCTGGCAGCAGCTATGGGAGGCCCGTAATCTGCCAGCACCCTATGTCAAAAAATTCAACACACACCAGCAGTGTGAGGGAACCTGAAAGTGGCACATGGCAGAGTGTGGCGATGGAGACAGCAGCAATGGGAGGCCGTACAGGGACCCATGAGAGACTCTGGACCTGGCAGCAGCATGAGGAGGGCGGTATATAGGGGCCCATGGCAGATTAGGGGCCTGGCAGCAGCTATGGGAGGCCCGTAATCTGCCAGCACCCTATGTCAAAAAATTCAACACACCAGCAGTGTGTGAGGAGACCTGAAAGTGGCACATGGCAGAGTGTGGCGATGGAGACAGCAGCAATGGGGAGGCCGTACAGGGACCCATGAGAGACTTGGACCTGGCAGCAGCATGAGGAGGCGGTATATAGGGGCCCATGGCAGATTAGGGGCTCTGGCAGCAGCTATGGGAGGCCCGTAATCTGCCAGCACCCTATGTCAAAAAATTTGAACACACCAGCAGTGTGTGAGGAGACCTGAAAGTGGCACATGTTTGAGGCATGATTCATGGCGGATTTAGTCAGTTGTGTCAGGAACTGGTGGTGTTTGAAATCCAGACTAATCCCAGCACGCCTGATTCATTTTCACACAAACGTGAGTCTCTCCACACTTTTTGGGTGGACAGTCGTGTCCTCCGCGGAGTTTACAATACCTCCTGCCCGCCACTAAACACGCGCTCCGATGCCACGCTACTGGGCTGAGGCATGACAGCCTTTTCAAGGGCAAATTCAGCTAGTTCAGGGGCAAAGGTCAAGTGGTTTGAAATCCAGACTATCCAGTTGGGCCAAAGTAGTCAAGGGGATCCTGTACAATACCTCCTTTCGTTGCACTGGCAGGGCATGACAGCCTGTCCAAGGGCCAAAGCCAGCTAAGTTTTGGGCCAAAGGTCAAGTTTCGTTTGTCAAGGGGATTGTCTACCGGTTGGCAGGTGCTGTCCAAGTAGGGGCCCAAGCCTGTTGTTTGAGGTCCTGCTCCAGGTCCACCTGATGCTGCTGCTGCTGCTGCGGCTGGTTAGTAGTTTCCTCACTGCGCTGGTGAAGAAAGCTACTCATCATCGACTGCAGACTGAGGCAGCCGCTGCTGGTGGAGCTGCCACTGCTCCTACCACCCCCCCCCCCTCCCCTGCTGCCATGGCAGCGGAACGCGAGCGCACAGGGCCCACAGTGTCTGAGGATGGACGTTGGCGCACAAAGGCAGAGACCAACTGACTACATAGGTGGTTTTTTTTATAGTACGTTATTTTGGCCTCCCTCTCCCTCTCAGCAGGTGTGAAAAAGGCCACCATTTTGGAACGGTAGCGAGGGTCCAACAAGGTGGACAGCCAAAAGTCATCCCTCTGTCTGATGGTTATTATTCGGCTGTCGCTACGCAAGCAACCGAGCATGCTATGGGCCATTTGTGCCAAGGAATGCGAGGGACTCCCTGCCTCCATCTCCACAGCATACTGCCACGGTGCGTCTGGGTCCTCTGTCTCCTCCTCCTCCTCCTCTACCAGATGCTCCTGCTCCTCCACTCCTGTCCGCTGAGTGGAAAAACCACCCATTTCACTCAATAATTCCTGAGCACAAATGTCCTCCTCTACCTCCTCCTCTTCTTCCTGTCCTGCCCCCACAGGGGTCATGTGGCGTTGAGATCTGTGCGCCACGTCTACCGCACCCTGACCAGCCATTGTTAACAGCATTTGTTCCAGGACGTGCAACAGAGGAATGACGTCGTTCATCCCATAGTCCTGCCTGCCGACTCACGAATAGCGTGGCCTCCTCAAAGGGCCTGAGCAAGCGGCAGGTGTCACGCATGAGCTGCCAATGGCTGACATCGAAGTTACACAGGGGGAGTACCTTTATCCGCTTGTAACATCAGGAAATCGGTGATGGCCTTTCGCTGCTCGTAAAGGCGGTCTAACATGTGTAGGGTTGAATTCCACCTTGTTGCAACGTCGCAGATCAGGCGATGCTGTGGAATTCCGTTCTGCCGCTGCAGCTCAAGGAGGGTGTGCTTTGCGGTGTAGGAATGGCTGAAATGCATGCAAAGTTTACGTGACATTTTAAGGATGTCTTGCAGTGGGATGGTGGATTTTAAGGAACCGCTTGACAACCAGATTGAACACGTGAGCCATGCATGGCGCATGGCACAACCTTCCTTGACGCAGAGCAGACACCATGTTCTTTCCGTTGTCGGTCAACATGGTTCCGATTTTCAGTTTGCGCGGAGACAGCCATCTGTCGATTTCTCTGTTCATTACACTCAGAAGTTCCTCCCCTGTGTGACTACGTTCGCCAAGGCATACCAGGTGCAGAACAGCGTGACACCGTTGCGCCCTGCACATGTGATATGCCGGTCGGGTAATGGGACTTGGCACGGGGGTGGCGGCTGAGGACACGGCGGAAGAAGAGGTGGTAGAGGCGGACATCTTTGCCGGACCAAGGACGTGCAAACGTGGAGGCAAAAGCGGCGTGACCTGTCCAAGTTGCTGGTGCGGCTGTGACGGCACCACGTTCACCCAGTGGGCCGTAAATGACATGTACTGTCCCTGACCGTAGTTACAGCTCCACACGTCGGCGCTGCCGTGCACTTTGGCAGAGACCGACATGCTCAAAAGACTGGCCCACCATCTCTTCTACATGTGAATGCAGGGCTGGCACTGCCTTTTTGGCGAAGAAATGACGGCTTGGCACTCTCCACCGCGGCGCGCGGCACACAAGCCATCATTTCTCTGAAAGGTGCTGAGTCCACCACTTGGAAAGGGAGGGACTGCAGCACCAGCAACTTGGACAGGAGGACGTTCAGCTTTTGCACCGTCGGGTGCGTGCTCTCGCAAACTGTTGTCTCTTGGAAACGGATTCCAAGAAAGACTGCTGACGGAATCCGTGAAGAGGAGTAGCAGGAGAAGGAGCATCTGAACGAGCGGAAGATGCCAACGACGAGCGACAACTCCCCTCAGCAGAGGTGTTGGAGCCTTGACTGGCTGATGGAGGGCGATTGACGTCGGGTGACGGAGCAAGTAACGGAGCGGGTGATGGAGCGGGGGCTGGGGGCAGGCAGAACCGCCGTATCTTTATCACGGTTTTCCCAGGCCACCAAATGGCGACGCTGCATATGCTGCCGCAACGCTGTAGTCCCCAACATGGGCCCCCTGGCCACGCTTGACTTTCTGGCCACATAGTCGACATACGGCTACGTTTTTACTTCCTCGGGCGGCTTGACGAAAAATTGCCACACCGCCGAGTAGGAAACTTTGCCCCCGATACTCCTCACTGGCTGACTGCTGCTTCCTCCGTGCACACACCGGCACCACTACTGGCCGTGGTGGTAGGCTGCAGTGGAGCTGGTGCTCTAACTCCGTGGGCCGTTTGGCTCCACTGACACTGCTGCGACCCTGCTGCCGATCTGTCCTCCTGGGCAACCCACCGACTGTTTTCGCTCGCTGCCAAGCTGCCACCCTCTTCTCCTGATGATGCGGAAGAAATTGCCTGATGACGACGAGGCTGCCAAGTGCGATCAACCTCCTCATCATCAAGTAGGGTCTCCGCCTCACTACTAGCCCCCTCGGCTGCGTCCTGGGTCAGGAGACAGACCTGTCTCTAGACCGGCTACCGAGCCACTCTCCTCGCCACTACTTCTTCGCCTGGCTGCTGAAAAGGCGGATGTCTCCCCCCCGTTCCTGACCGCCCTCTGTTAGCTCTTCCTCACTGTACAGTGGGGCTGAGCCCACAGCATGCGATACTTCGCTTGGTGAGGGAACACCAAAGGACAGGGGCAGGTAGAGGACACGTGATTTCAGTGGGCTTGGTCCCGGGCCATGCCAACTAACGGTTGTGTCTGACGACCCACCGACCGTTGGCTGTAGGTGTCAGAGGTGACCTGGGAAGAGGAAGACGACCGAGCCAACCAATCGACGACGGCAGGGTTGTCGGTGGAGACACGACCGCTGGATGACACCCGTTAGGGAGCACTGGCCTCTGGCTGCGAATAAGTGCTGGGCTGCCTCGACCCCTGAATTCCTCTGCTGCCAACGTCTGCTCGCGCTCCTAAAACATTGCCTCCTTTCTGCCCACTCCTCTGCATGTTGTCTGACATACTCTTTAATTAAACGCTATTATGTGTCCCTGAGTAACAATTCTGTGTCCCTGATGAGTAACCAATTCTGTGTCTGTGCGAGTAACAATTCTGTGGCCCTAAGTAACAGTTTCTGTGGCCCTCAGTAACATTCTGTGTCCCTGATTAACGTTTTCTGTGGCCCCAGCAGTAACAGTTCTGTGGCCCTCAGTAACAATTCTGTGTCTGTGCGAGTAACAATTCTGTGTCCTGTGCGAAGTAACAATTCTGTGGCCCCTAAGTAAAAGTTTCTGTGGCCCTAAGTAACAATTCTCTGGCACTCAGTAACAATTCTGTCTGTCCCTGAGTAACAATTCTGTGCACTCAGTAACAATTCTGTCTGTCCCTGAGTAAAAATTCTGTGGCCCTAAGTAAAATTTCTGGGGTCCTGAGTAACCAGGTAAAAATCTGGCAGCCTCTCAGTAACAATTTCTGTCTGTCCATGAGTAACATTCTCTGGCAAGTCAGTTAACTACTTCGTCTGTCCCTGAGTAAAAATTCTCGTTGGCCCTAAGTAAAGAGTTCTTGGGTGAGTAAAACAATTATCTTAAAGCAATTCTGGCACCTACAGTAACAATTCCTGTCTGTCCCTGAGTAGTAACAATTCTCTG